TTTTGATACAGTAAAAGAATTAATAGCAATTGTAGTTTTTTGCTTTCGTCAATTGTAATGTTCAGTTTTCATCAATCAATGTTCAATTTACTTTCAATGTATTCAAATTCTTTGTTGTAAACTTTTTACAAAACTGTAATCAAATTTTATTTCGTCCCGACGCAACTGAGAAAAGGCGAAATGTAGTATAGTGGAGCAGACTACTGCTGCACGATGTCCCTTTCTGTGCCAAGAAAAAAGGCACCCCGTGAAACGATGTCTCTTATTAATGCTAGTAATCCTAAATATCAACCTTTTAATGGGTGTTAATTAAGATATTGATAAATAGTTTAAAACTTTTACTTGTTAAACACATTTAGTTAATTTAATCGAAACAAAGTACTTTCCGTTTCTGTTTAGGAAATGCCTAAACATTTTTACGCATCATCCCAACATCATAGTTCACCATGTTATAATTGATTTATGCTCAAAGCCCAATTTTTTCCATTTAATTATTTTGATAGTGCAATATATATTAAATTGATCCACCACAATGCACTGAGATGAAAAGTTAAGAATGCTGATAATAAATACATAGTTTGAACATTTTATCCTAAAAGGATGATATTTTATGACACAATCAAAATGATTGTCAATTTGATTGGATAATTTTTCAGCATTAGGAAAAGAAATAACAAGTTGAAAATAATGTACAAACGCATCATTATCCTCACAAAAAATAATTCAAACCACAAATTCGAAAGGTATGTTTTAAATGCATTTATTGACCAAAGAAATCAACGTATCACGCACTAGCTTTCAATACTTTGACACGAACTGATATCCTATGAGGACAATTCGTTAGCATTATATTTGATATATCTATGGTATGCCTAAAGCATGATGATATTCGATTATAATACAAAAATCTCCAAACGAAGAAGGTTCTATTAAAGAGGCATCTACTCTAGATGATTATTTATATATAACAAATCATAAAAATCCAAGAGGTTAAGGTACTTGATATATTGGAAATTGAAACATCTCAATAAATTATGTCGTTATGAGAAAAGAAATGAAAAAAGTTGTCAATAATACTTTTGCACATGATATATTGTATCATATTATGAATAGCGAGAAATTGAAATAAAATGACACTATCATAGTAAAATTACATTTACTAGAGAAACCTGAAGTTTCCGGATGTGATCAGCGTAAAATTGAACCTACTAGAGAAATTTGAAATTTCCTAATCTATAATCTAAACACCTAAATATGCATACTTATGCGAAATGAAAAAGAAAAAAATAGAGTCGTAATATGAAATGTACGACTCTCTATATAATGAATATCACGAAAACTTGTATAAATAGATAAGATATCATGTGGTGGATGTAATAATAAGTCTCAGCCTTGTTAGAGCGACAATGCATGAAATTTGACATGCATATAATAAACATGATTATATAAACTTAATATTATGCTTGAAGAATTTAATTTGCCTGAAGTATAATTCAAGTGACAATATTATGAGGAGTAGAAAATAAGCGTTGTACTCTTATTTTCTTAAACAAAGGTTTTGTCTCATTGAATTTTCTTAACAAGGTTTTTAAGGAAACAATTTTATAGTGTATGTAAAAGAATAATGTACTCATTTTCCTTCATTAGGATTTTTTACATGATTTTTTCTAATAAAGTTTTAAAGAGGCGGATTCTGTGTTGATGAGTCCATAACATGCAAGGCATTTATCTTCAAAATAATACTCATATATGTATGAGACTCTTGAAGAAATCAATAAAAATTATTTTTCGAACTATCATACTATAGTCATTAAAAGTTGATAAATATTTTGTATGAAGAAAGTGTTATTTTTAGATAATGACGTACAAGACATCAATATATGGATTGCATGATATAAGAGTTGAAATCAAGGGAGTAGCCGTACTTTTTTATTCGATCGAGTTTTATCTCATTGGTTTTCTTCACAAGATTTTAATGAAGCAACATTTTATTACTCCAAATTATTTTTTCTCTTTTTCATTTGTTAGATTTTTGATCCATCAAGTTTTTATCAAATAATGTTTCAATTTGATAGTTATTGTGTAAATAATCATTCAAGGAGAGTGTTGTAAATATAGTAGTATTTACAATACTCTAAAATATTAACTAATTTGAGTAATAACCTAATAACTAATTAAATAATTTAAGAGCGTAATTAATATGTACAAAACCTCCAAAACCTGAGTTAATAACTTTGCAAAAAGTATTCACTAGATCATTGAACTTTAAAAATCACTCAAATCATCACTGAACTTTGCAAAATGTTTTTATGGGGTCAGTGAATTTTGTAAAAGGTTTTCACGAAATCATTGAACTTTAAAAATTATATCATTCATCACTAAACTTTGCAAAAACTTTTCCAGTAGTCACTAAGTTCGGTGAAAGTTTTTGCAAAGTTCAATGACCATGTGGAAATCTTTTGACAAGTTCAATGATGAATGCGGAAATCTTTAAAGTTCAATGACCTCATGTAAATCTTTTGCAAAGTTCAATGATGACTTGGGTGATTTTTAAAGTTCAGTGACCCGATGAAAACTTTTTACAAAGTTTAGTGATCGTTTGGATTATTAACCCTTCAAAACCGCCTACATATCTTTCATCATTAGATTGCTGCAGCAAAGAATTAGGAGCCACCACATTATCTTAACCAAGTCATTTTATGTGTATTTTGCAATCTACCTGGTATTAAAACTGCAGCTGCTTTACATGGTCGTAGTAAGCTGGAAAAGCCCCTAATAGTAGTTGTGGGCAGCGAAAATAATTCTATCAACTCACCAGTTTATAATCAGATCACCTTCATGAACGGCAACATGGGAAACACAGCCATCAAAAGCAAATTTGGTGGCAAAAGATTCAGTTTTCGACGAACTTTTCCTTCATAGACAATTGACCCCAGAAGGATACTTCTCTTTTTCGCAACTTTGTAAGTTGTCCTTCATTTCTTTTCATCGCCATTTTTAGGGCTCAATTTCTACCAGTATTCTAATTATGTTCTCATTTTCCACAGGTCAAGCTTGGGGACAAAATTACTGATCTATTGCACCTTACACATGAGCAAGCACAATGGGGATTACAATGCACAAGATTGATTATTATAATTTATAATTAGCCTCTCCCACTTTAACTTCTTAGTGGGACTAAGCACAACGGGGATTACAATGCTCAAGATTGATTATTATAATTTATAATTAGCCTCTCCCACTTTAACTTCTTAGTGGGACTAAGCACAACGGGGATTACAATGCTCAAGATTGATTATTATAATTCATAATTAGCCTCTCCCACTTTAACTTCTTAGTGGAACTTCATAAATTTGTGAAACCAGACTTGGTTAAGATACTTGGCTCCTGCCTCTAAAAGATAGGGTGGAAGGCCAAGATTCCTCTCAGGGATGGACTTAAGAATACCTATAAATGGCACTTGGAAAATGTAGCCAACCAGCAATAGTGCAAGTGATTGTTGCAATTCATTGTTCCTTCTAAAGCATTGTCTTTGTTCACTCCATTAATCAGGGAATAGTTGTGTATTGGATGTGAGTTATAGATCATCATTAGCCATTTGGCTAGACTACCCGTGTAACATGTTGTTGGGGATTCATTGTTTCCAAATTACCAATTTAATGAATTACTATGTTATAAAGGAATCACAATGAGATATGGTTCAATTGATTCATCAAAAAAGGCATACCCTTTGAAGCCAGAATTGATTTTCTTTGATTCTTAAGATAATGCATGAAATGATCTTTGGACAAGCATAGATTAGCCTGAAAATCCTTAACAAATATCTCTATGGTTGATTATGTTAGGAGTTTTCCTTTCCTGGTTCTTTTGAAATGTAAAATTATTGACATTAACATAATTTTTCACTTTCTGAATTTTTGTGACTGTTTTGAGTATTTGTCGCTTTATTGAATTCTATCACTGTAAAAAAATTTCGTCATTTTCAACTTCAACTTACAGGTGCTGTGTTTCTAAAATGAAGTTATGTCTCATATTTCATTAATTAATAGAAGTAAAACTCAATCACAAAGCGATAACATGTGAAAAAAAATAACCATCCTTGGATCAATTTTTATGTCTTTATTGATATTTCTTTTTTTTTTTGTGTTTGTCGTTTTTCAAATTTCTGTCACTTTTATTAGCATTTATCATTTTTTTGAATTTCTGCCACTTTCAATTTATTGGTTGTTGTGTCACTAAAATGAATTTCTGCCACTTCCAATTTTGATCACATTTTTAAAAAAATATTTTTGTCACTTTTTTGGTCACCTTTTTGAATATTTGTCACTTTTTTCCAATCACATTCTTGATTTATATCTTTTTTTAGTTATAAACATAATTTTTAATAAAAGTGACATTATATGTCATTTTTCAAATAAAAAAGTGACACTTAAACATTTGATTTCTATGTCCTTCACTTTTTTTGAATCTGTGTTAACTTTTTTTTTTTGTCACTTTTTTAAATTCGTCATTTTTTTTTAAGTTTCTATTACATTTTTTTTAATTTTCATCACTTTTTTTTAGTAACTCTCACTTTTTTTAAATTTCTGTAATTATTTATTTATTTATAGTAGTGTTTGTCACTTTTTTCAATCTTCTTCTTAAAATTTCTATAACTATTTTTACTGACCAACATCACTTTTTTTATAGAAATAATATTGTATATAACTTTTTTATTAATAAAGTGATACTAAACCTTTTGTGTCACTTTTTAATTCTACACAATATTTTTTAACTTTCAAAAAACTTTTCATATGATTTTTCAAAACACTCATAATTTTAAGGGTATTGTTGTAAGTTGTTCTATTTATGAATGATTTTTATTTATATCTTTATATCCCTAATCATTATGATTGTTATATTCTTTGTAGCTCTAATTCTTACGTATAAATAAGAGGTTTTGATTATCAAATTTTTATTACATGGAGAGGAGAAAGAGAATTGTGGGATCACCTCCTCGTGAGAACTTTAAATTGTTATAGGTGAATCCTACTTTTAAATGAAAGTGTTCTAAAATATTTTGAATTTTACAAAAGTTTATACAAGTTTTAAAATAAAAATTTATATAAATTCAAGAAAACTTTTATTAATTTCATATATGTTTATGAAAATCCACGAAATCCAACAAAATCATCGCTTAAAAAACATTTATAAAATTTTTCAAAAGTAAAGTGCTCGCAAGCAGTGGCCTTTCCAGTTCGACCGTTCAAGGGTTGTATCTTGAAGTCTTTGCGCAACCTCTAATACAGAATTTTCAAATCTTAATTGAGGGTTTATTGATAATTAGGGTTTTAGCTTTGAGTTAAAAACTGTAATGGAAAGCTTGGAGGAGAAGGTGGTTGCTGTGATTATCGTGGGTGGTCCGGCAGAAGGTTCGAATTTTTTTTTTTTTTTTCCCGACAGTCTTTCTCAATTATTTTTATTTTTAAAATTTTTTTTTGTTATATAATTTTTTGTGTTTCTGTTTGATTAATGAGTTTTATCTGAAAAAATTTCAGGTACTAGATTCAGGCCGCTTTCCTTTAATACACCGAAACCTCTACTTCCTCTGGCTGGTCGGCCCATGGTTCATCACCCCATTTCCGCTTGCAAAAAGGTGTGCTTTACTCTCTCTCTGTTTTTTTTTTTAATTATTTTTTCCGGGTTTGATTGGTTAGAAAATTTGAAAATTTACATTGTTTGGTATCACTATGAAAGATGGTGCTTTTACATTAATTTTACAAAACAGAGGATTCAGATAACAGCAGGGATAGTTAATCGGAGTTTAAAATGTGCAGAGGGGGGGGGGGGGGGGGAAAAAT